GGGCTGTGGGCCTCACATATCAGAGCATGTGGGCCCCAATGGGAAGAGAAGGAACTTTGCAAAGCATGCAAAGCTTAAAACGTGTGACACAGACTATCACTTTCATCTGTCACATGCTTCTGTTCACACCTACATGAAGCTGCACACACTTGCTTTTCTATGTGGCTATTTGGTCTCACACAATTTTTAAAGGCAATAGGCATTCCAGTTCTCCAAACCACTGACATACACAATCTACCGTCTGGTGGACCCTGCAAGTAATATTCCTTCAATGCTCTTAGGAAATATTTGGACCTGGATTCATACAGAATTTTGGCTGAACAAAGTGCAGTAGTTTACAGTTTCACCTGTACTATGTTGTCCTTTTCTACAAACCCTGGGAATAGTCATAAATGCGCTTATTTTGCAAATGAAGCAACAGGCTCATAGGGAGAAGTCGTTATAGTGTCGAGCCCAGATTGGGGTCCAGTTGTGTCTGATGCACTGTGCCCATTTTATTTAAAATTCTAAGTGCTTCTAGCTAGATATTTGAACTTATATAAGTTAAATATTCTGCCCAAGATTATTTCTTTATCAGTATATTAATACCTGACATACCAATCTATCTATTTTGATCTACAACTCAAAAAGTCCTGCATAGGTGAAAGCAACTTATAAACTCTCGCTAGATTATGCTGATCTGGAAGATTCTCAGGGTATACTTGACCAGAGAAACCCCTCCAGAAATAACAAATGAAATGTAGTAAGCAGAAATTCAGTATGAATTTTATTCATAAATTCTTTTATGCAGCAAACATTAAGCTGGCATTTCCTTTATGCAGCGAGGCTGTTTGAGCCAGCGAGGACCAGTGAAGGAGTGAGTGCTCCTGCTGAGGAAGTCAGTTCATGTTTACATTAAAGATACTCTTTCTCAGAAAGAAAAGCAAAAGAGGATGTGAACACTTCAGGAAAAGTATGATGAGAGAATAGACACTTAGAAGAACGCTTGGGCCTGAATTGAAGATACAGTTTTGACATCTAAAATGTGCATCGCCTCTCCTCTTTAATGGCAGAGAATCCTTAAACCCAGGGAGTAAGTGTGAAATTCCTTTACTAATAATCTACCTGAGACAATGCACTGTTAATACTAAACTTGACTTTGGCCTGTCATAAGGGGAAATTTTTCTTTTGTTAAAATTTCTTGCTATTTAATGTGAAAGGCTAAAAATACTCTAATATTGAACTCTTAATATTTTTCAGGAATATGAATTATGGTCATAAGAAATCATGATTATGGCTGTACAGGAGATATTAAAGATAAAGCAGCCCTTTTCATTTTATTGTAAAGAAATATCTGATGGTGATTTATACAGAAAAAGAGTGGTATTTAGCTTGTTCTTCAGGAAATCAAAGATGAACATCCACTGCTGATCTTCTTGCTGGGACAGCCCTGGGATGGTGCAGAGTGTCACATGAAAACAACCAGAAAGCACAACTGCAGGTGTGTCTTTTTGGTCTCCTCTCTCTTCTGTGGAGTCACCAGGATTCCAACACAGGAGCTTTACTCTGATGAGTTCATCTAATCCCAGAGGTCTCATCTCTAAACTCCACAGTCAGATTAAGTTTACATCACCTTAATGCCTCACGATATATCTAAATTTCCACACATGAAACTCG